TACTACTACTATAGTTAATACTAAAACAACAACAACAAAAACAACTACTACTATAGTTAATACTAAAACAACAAGAACAAAAACAACAACTACTACTACTACTACTACTACTACTACTACTACTACTACTACTACTACTACTACTATAGTTTAATACTAAAACAACAAAAACAACAACTACTACTACTACTAATAGAGTTTTTTAAATACTACTGCTGCTAGAAATTTTGCTGTTGCTGCTGCTACTACTACTACTATATTTTTTACTAATGCTACTACTGCTAGTAGTTCTGCTGCTACTACTACTACAACTACTACTGTATCCGGTGTTCTCAGAATGCCCGGCTGTGCTCCTGCGTGAGCTTCAAACCCGCCAGTCGACGACAGTAGCCGCCGCTACGGCCCAGTGGTAGCGTGAAGCCAGCCGTATGTGGGCTGTGATATCTCACGCTTGACTGGGATTTCCTTGGATAAAAAAACTCGAGGATTCCCCCTTCACCGCGCCAAAACGAGGCCGTCATAAATATGAAATCAAAATGGCGAACATCATATCCGAACAACAACAACACTACCCCGCGAGAACATTTATAAACTAATCAATTCCTCCACGCAAGATAAACTAATCTCGGAATTATGGATTTAAAAAGATCAGTTAAAAGAAATGAACAAGGTAATGCGGTCATTGTTTGCTTAGGTTTTATAAACGCGACCTTGATTTCTTAGTAGTTAGTTGAGCTTTTCTACCGCTTCATTTTTCATTTTTTATGTGGGTCGTTTGGTTTTTTTTAAGTTGACTTTATTGTTTTTATGGTTGTTAAAGCGGATATTTGTTATAGTGGTAGATATTTGTGTGGTCTTTAGCTGCTTTTGTGATCGTAATTTGGGTGTATGGGTGTGGGATGCAGAGATATGACACATGTATGTAATTTGACACCTAAAATTCTATCCCGGGTACATGACACCCATTTTCGATAACGGGGTTGAACAATCATAATAGAAGACAGCATGTAGAATTAGGTGGAGATTTGACGGCTGCCTTGTCGGGTGAGAACATTTGCTTTCTGTTTGGGGTCTGCATTAGTGGAACTGTTTTACTAGTCAGCCTGGCCGTGTAGGTGAATGTGTTGTGAGTCAGAGCTAGCTAGACACGAAAATACGTTTGACGTTGTTAAATGTTGACTTGACCTCAGACTTCTTAGTCAGAACTTCTTGTCTTAGCACACCCAGGTAGGAAGGGAGGGTTTTAGCAGGTCTGGTGGCACTCTGTAACTCATAGATTTTGTGTGTTTTGTTTTTTGGGGGGTGCAACAAACATGATGTTGACAGTTTCATGGAGAAATAATTATCTTTATACTAATATAAGTACATGTTGTTGCTAAAAAGTAGCTAATTTTCCTACTGCCTACTTAGTAGTGTCCGCGTCTGTGGCTTAGGTGAACCGTAGTGAACGTGCTTCGTAATGCTGGGGTGCCGGGTTCGAATCCCTGCTGTGGACAATTTGTCTTGCGATGGTTTCGACCGTGGTACTGAGAGCCGACCATCACCATCCAGAAAGCAATGGCAAACTACTGGATGTAAATTTTCCTAGAAAAACCACAACAGCCAGAAAGTGCTGGGGTTGGTTCTGCAACGTCCTGTTAAGGATACAGAACTAACTTTCTAGAACTTTACATTGACATGATAATGTGATGTAATGGTCTCTCTGTATTCAGAGGTTGTCAGTGAATATGTTGAGTAAGTGCAGTGGATCTGCACACAGGCGTTGGTTAATATGAGAAAAGTAAGTTGGTAAGGCAATCTTCTCTTCACTTTCTACTTTACCGGTTGGGGTATAGAGGGAGATATAAACTTGTGCATATTTCCTTTCTGGCAAGAGCTGATCAATGAAAACTCACACCCAGGTGACATTATATATACTGATGCCCGTCTCTCTAGCGTAGTTGGCTAAACCGGATTGCGCAGTGAGCGGGTGACGAACTCCTTGTGGTCCGGGTTAAATCCCGGGAGTGGGCAGAAAAGCCACATTATCTCCCAGATTTACGGTATTCAAAATGGAATCAAGGCCGAAAGGTTGCGATATCCATAATACCGAGCCTAAGGGTTAACAACTCATGGCTTCTGGATACTAAAACAAACAATATATACTGATGGGTCTATCGTGAGAGGTTAAAAGAAAAAGTGGGTGGGGTTTTACTGCCAAGGTGAATTGACACTGTTTGAAAACAGAGCCTCGCGTAGAACATCACTACATCCAGTATGAGAATGGAGGTGGAGGCAGTGATGATACGTTTTCAGTGGCTTGAGAGAAGCTAAAACAATGTTGTAGTTGTAATAGACTCGAAGCATGCTTCAGAAAATTTAAATGTGTGTCCAGCGCGCAGAGTGGCTTGCATCACTTGATAAGATTAACATCTGGAGCATATCATGGATTTGGTATCCAGGATGTTCAAGTGTGGGAGGTAACAAGCAGGTTGATAGATTCGCTGCTGCTGCTCCTCTGGGCTGTCATCTGCTTTATGATAAAGTGGATGTGGTGAAAGCTGTTTGTAATCAAATGGACAGTGCAATGGAACAGCGAATCGGTATACTGAATTACAAATTCAGTGGGTTGGGGGGGGGGGGGGGATGAATAGAGGTTCTGGGAGATATTCAGCATCGAGGGAGAATAGTGGCGGACGTTTAATTAGGTCACAAGTGATACTGTTAGCATGCTGACTCTTCAAATGCTAAGGAAGAACTGAATGGAGCACTTTTGAGAATATGTCCCTAGGTCAGTGATGTAATTTCTTGATTTATTCATTCATGCATGCATGCACACTCATATCCATGCCAATGGTTAGAAAAATAATTATTATGTCAAACCAATTTTAACTTATAGCTGTGAATCCAGGACAGTTTCTTGGTGGCAGCCGTCAATTCTGTATTCTTACAATGTTCTTGTCTACCACAGAACTGTAATAGAATCTGCAAGCTGTTTAGTTTAGTGTTTTTGCAATTAGTAGTAAATAATATATTACTGTTGATGTTATGTCCCGTAATAATGATTTCTCTAAAACCTTTCTGTCGGCACCTGTGTTTTAGTTGTTATGAACACAGCTTGTAACTCCAGAATACCAGATTCGATTTGGCAGTAGACCATTTTAAAATTCATTTTGTTAATGCTATGGAAAGATGATTGTTCAGAAAATAATGGTAAATTACTGAATATAAAATTGCCCAGTGAAACCACAGACAGCCAACAAATACTGAGGTTGGTTTGCAGTATCATTTCAAGCAATGTTTTTCAAACCTTTTACACCCATAGCCCACCAAAACAGGATAAGTTGTTTTGTGGCTCACCTGACAGCTAATCCAATTTACAAATTTGCAGCTGCTCGGAGGCTAGAGACTCTGACATACATTGCTGGAGCATTGTTTCTAATAGATGAAGTTCTGCAATAGCATTTATTTGATTTCTGTGTTTGGTTTTTATTACTGACATGTTTTGTTTTTTCAAATGAATGGGAAGTCCGAAAATATGACCACCAGTCTGATAGCTCTGTGACTCATAGATGGATATTCTTTTTCTGTGACATCTAATACACAGATAGTTATTGCATTTTTTGTCTGGACACCAGCGTGACATCAGAAGACAACTCGATCAGCTTTTCCTTTTCATGATGATCAAGTATGCATGCTCTTATGTCTTCCGGAAAGAATACAAAGGTTGCCTTTACAAGAGTCCTTATTTTCAGGCCACAAATTTTTCAGAATTTTCAGTCCTGGGAGAGAAAACTGCCTACTGCTTCATGACATGATTATGCAGGAACTATTGGCGGCCTACCAGTTGAAGAACACTGTATTAAAGGATATGCAGTTAGCTTTTAATACCTTTCTATTTCCATATTTTCTCTGGACAGGGAAGAAGAAAATATTGGGAAACTAAACAAATACATAGATTTTATTAATTTGTTGATATTTTTCTACTTGTAATTATTTTTAAAAAATAGTAACTCAGCTGGAGGAGCTTCCCTTAAATGTATGGCAAGAACCCCCCCCCCCCCCCCCCCCCCCCCCCCCCCCCCCCCCCCCCATCCCTACACAATTTTAAAAGAGATTGAACAAAAATAAAGCCCAAGCACCGTTAACAGGAACTGTGTTGTCCTGTTGATTATATTTTTAGTGGTATCTATACTAACTGCCCATGAAAACAATCATGCTTTAAAATAAAATAGTTTAAAAAAATATTTTATTCACAATTAAAATGGGGGAAAGTTTGTGTAACAGATCAAGGAGAAATGAAGTTTTAAAACTGTCTGATTCTCCGCTTGAAACTTCCTTTCACTCCCCTCCCCCAGACAGGTTGAAAACCACTGTTCCAAGAGGTGACATGAAAGAATATCATCAGTAGAAATATTCCAGTAATTATTGTACCCAAAGATATCAAAACCTCAGTCCAGATGAGAAGTAAAGCTGCTCAGCTTCACAGTACCACAGTCACAAACGACAAAATAAACATTTCAGCAACAAAGTCTTCATCAGCTTACGACACAAAGAGATGGATACACTTGAATCCTTGCCTTGTAATTGTTACCTATACCCCAATTATAACTTTCTTTTTTTTTTTAGAAGTTGAACGAGGTATCTGGAATCTGCCTTGTTGGTCTACCATCCAGATTGAGATTTTTAAGTCTATGTGGTATAATAAACTGTTAGATAGTAGCTTCGAGGGTACAAACTGATCGATCAACATTGAAAACACCTTAGCTTTCTATGAGGTCTGTTAACACAATCTCCATGCTTGCTTAATCAGTTCAGGCGTTGTGTTAATCTAGAGCACCAAGATGAGAAATGGGCAGATATTAATGCCTAAGGTATCTTGCAAGGCACTTGATGGTGTTGTATAAGTGTTATCTGTCAAGGCACTTGATGCTGTTTATATAAACACACACACACACATTGAATTCAGCTGAGTTTGTGTATATCTAGGCTAAAGTTGCCTGCTCATGTGTGACCAAGCTATGAGTGCGGCCAAGGACAGCAGAGAGGCCTCCAAGAAGCCCACAAGCGAGGCCAAACGCTTTCTACAGAATGACCAGGAGAAGCAACGAAAGGAGAAAATTAAAACCTGCATCGGAGAGATTGCCAAAGAGTTACCTCCAAGTGCCGATCATTTAGATCGCAAGCCGGTAAGTTTACCCTTTTCCCCCACATAGTTTCAAGGCTGTAATTTAAAACAGCAGAAGCTAGTAGAGGACCCCCTTGTCTACGCCTTCACTCATACTGGGCATACAGAGCTAGACCTGTATTTTATAAACCAATCAACATTTGATAGGTAATGTGGTTGGCATCACACCAGCCGCCTTTGCTTCCTTTAGCCCCCGTGTGGGTTCCGGGCCCTACTTTGGGAAAACACAAGAATAGACCCACTGTCTACCCAAGAGCATGTCGTAAGAGTCGACTAATTGGGAGCTTCCTTCAAAGTCGGAGTGCATCTGCCTGAGAGACAAGGAACCAACAGTCTGCATACAGATCTGTCAAACGGATGCACATGCCAACACTCAGGTTCTGGAACAGGTCCAAAACTCCATGTTAGTGATTCAGTCATATCAATTATTTCTCTGTATTCTGCTCGGGCACTAGTTAATTAATGTTTGGAATCTAGTAATTGCCTGTTTCTATGTTTCTGATCCAAACAACAAAACTGATTTGTCACTAGAATTACAAATGTTTAGTGTTAGTTTAATTTTTTTTTTGACCTGCACCAATTTCCTAGTGCTATAAAAGTCTCGCTATTTCTATTTTAATATCTCTATCAGTTCCCCATCTTTATCTCCATTACTGCCAATATTGGTGTGTGTGACTTCACATCTTGGAGTGGGATGCTATAAAGGGAAACCACACTACTATTTGTCTGATTTATTTTCATTATCTTTGTCTTTCCCTTAAGGATTTTTAGATCTAGTTGTTGTGATCTCGCATCAAGTATATTTCATTTACCTTGCTTCTGATTCCATAAGTGGGACAGAAGTGAAGCTTATCTTGAGAATTTTTTAGGCATAGACATAGTAACTCATGAAATCTTCATTATTTACATTATTTGTCTAAATTTACATATAAGAAATCTGCTGTGTGTAAAATATAATTTTCTGTAATAAAACTAAATGCCCTTCTGATTTTAATTTTTTATGCATTATTCCAGAGCACTTTGTCTATAGTGTCTCAAGCAAAAGAGTATATTAAGAAGCTGAAAGAGCAGAATCATGCCTACGAGAACAATCTGGCAGCCGAACAGCAACGTGAGTATCCAATGAGTTCTATTATATAGTCATAGAAGATAGGCAGTGAGAAGAATCACAAAATATATTTGTTTCAGGTTTTCCCTCGCTTTTGTCGCTGGTTACAAATATTCCAGCAAAATTGGATTTGTGTATGTTGTGTGTAGCATGGTTGGCTTGTTGTTCTGGGGTTCCCTATTTGGAGGGGGTCACTGCTCCTAACAAGCATGTCATAAAAGGCTATTGATTAGGGGTATTTTCTTTGAACTCACATTGCATCTGCCTGAGAGGCAATCAACTAGCAGCTTGCGTTTAAAAAAGCCAGATCCAGAACGGAACCCCTGGAGAGAGGAGTATAAGTTTCCAATACACATCAAGACTGAAGTGAAAGGGGTATTTGACAAGGAAGAACAAAACAGTGTGCAGCGCAAAACAGCCACCCTCAGTTTACTTGATGATGAATACCCGCAGAACCTTTGGGTCCGTGTTTACACAGATGGGTCAGCAGAAAGCGCAGTCAGAAACGGAGGTGCGGGAGTGTACATTGAGTATCCTAATAATACCAGGGATACAGCCAAATTACCAACGGGAAAGCACTGTCACAACTATGATGCAGAAGTTCAAGCCATCAAGATAGCGGTAGAGAAACTACTAAATACAGGGTATTTTTCACAACCAGTGGTATTCCTGACAGATGCAAAAGCAGTACTTCAGTCACTCCAGTCTGGAAAATTACCAAGCATACGGACACTATTATCAGAACTAGGCAATCGCTGTAAATTAGTAATGCAGTGGATACCTTCCCACTGTGGAGTTCCCGGAAACGAAAAAGCTGATAAACTAGCTAAGGAAGGTGCAACTGAAGAACAACCTGACATAGTCTCTTATCAACAGAAGAAGAGAATGGTCAAATCAATCAGAATGCCACCGAAACTGGCACAAGATGATTACCATATTATGGACAGACCAGAGCAAGTTATTATCCTTCGCCTTAGAACAGGGCACAATAGACTTCGCTCCCACATGTACAACAAATTTAAGATTGGCCAATCGGCCATGTGTACTTGTGGACTGGCACCTGAAACAACAGATCACATCCTTCAAGACTGTCCCATATTCAACGCTTTCAGGCAAAACATTTGGCCAAAAGAGACACTTGTGGAAGTCAAACTTTACGGGCCGCTTAGTGAATTACAAAAGACAGTGAAATTCATACAAGAGACGGCTTTGCAGATATAGACAATTTATTTCATGCGAACGAAAGAAGAAGAAGAAGAAAAAGCCAGATTTGTAAAAACAACCTTTTGGCAACGCCATTTATCCATATCTTTCTTGGTCTTCCTCTCGGCTTCCTCCCATATGTTCTGCTTTAAAAAGTCTCATATGCAGTTTAGTATGGCTGAAACATTTCATTCTTTGTATGTCAATATAATCCAGACATGGTCTTACTCCGACTTTCTCTCTAGTGCTGGTATTCGTAACCCTGTCTCTTCTTTCGTTGATGGTGACCTTGGGGAGACAGCGCATTTCACACGTAGTTGTTTTCTATTCAGACATCCTTGCTTCCTCAATTTTTTTTTTATTTCTCATTTTAGTGCCTGCTTGGTAATTCTCTGCTCGTTTCTTTCATGATGTGCGTAGTATGGTGCCATCTTCTTTGTCTTAATTGTTACTGTTGTTGTCTATGGTTGTCCAGACATCTGTGTTTTCTTCAGCCCCCTTGAATTCATGCCATTTTATATTAAACATTTTCCTCAGGCTTTTGTCCTGAACAGTGCTTTCAGCCAATTATTATATTATTTGAGGGGCCTATTGTGAAGTCATGACATTTGTTTTGTGTAGTTCATGAACTGACATTTGCTCCCAGCCATACTTTAAAAAATAGTTATGCAGGGTTTTACTATTTAAGGGTTACTTTTTTGTTAACTTTTGCAGAAGAAGAGCTGAAAAGACTTCGTGAACTGCAGTCTGAGCATGTTGAAAAGATCAAGAAACTTGAGGAGACCCTGAAGGCATTTGGTGAGTTCCCCCAGGTCTAGGTTAAAGATAATTTGTTAAGTGAATCCGGTCTTCCCCTGGGTATGGGTTACAGTCTGTTCACAGTGGAATGTCTCAAATCTGTGAAGGCAACCAGGTCAAAACCCAGCCTGGTCATGGGTAACAGTTTTACTGTATATACAAGGAGAAGTTTATGTAAAAACCATTGTGGCCTGGTCTGCTTGTAACATCCAGATTGCGGGTCGTGGCGGTTTTGCAGTATACACGTGCACAAGAGCTCGTGCAAGATGGCCACTGTTCTGTAAACATGCAACATGGTCTTATTCGTCTTTTATGAACAAACAGTTTTAATTTTTCTTAAATCTATTGAAAAATGAAGATTCAGTATGGCGACAGCATACAGCCCAGACTTTGCACCATCAGACAGCATACAGCCCAGACTTGGCACCATCAGACAGCATACAGCCCAGACTTGGCACCATCAGACAGTATACAGCCCAGACTTGGCACCATCAGACAGCATACAGCCCAGATCGAACTTTCATTTGTTTGGCTCATTGAAAGAACATTTGCAGGATCAGAGATTTGCAGATAACAGTGAGAGGTGGGATGTCATGGGGGCAAACTTGGTTACTGGCCACACCCAAAAGCTACCTGGTGGACATTCACAATCTTGTGGATCGGTGGACTACATATGCTGCTTATGTTGAGAAATGGGACACAGAACACATTTTCTTCCCTTCACTCGTAAAACACTTGTTAATTCAGTTGCCTTTACTTAATGACTTCCCCTTGTATTTAACACTTTTAGAGCAGTATAGAGAGGTCATGAGCCAGAGGATTGAACCCTTTCACTCCAAGAAGCCTAATTATAATCTCTTCCACTTGTGTCTCAGGTGTGTGATGAAATGTTATGTGCTTTACTGAGGTGCAGACTATTATTTATTTGTAGCATTTGTGTGTTTAAACTTTCCGCCCATTAGTCCGTTAGCTGGCCTACCTAACGAGCCATAGGAATTAGATTAATAATGTAGGTCCCTGACAGAGCTGCATTACTTATTGTAGCATCTGCGTGTTTAAACTTTCCGCCCCAGGAAAAATTGAAAGGAATAAGTCATGACCCCATTAGAATTCCACACACAACAATCAGTTTAAAAAAACAAGTTATTAAAAAAAAAAAAAAATTTTTAATACAGATCACAAATAAATTCATAAAAAATATATTTGTCTACAATTTAACATTTTGTTTCGCAATATATAAAGATGTATAAAAGGAGTAATTAATACACATGATCAGGTTTACACGCAAGGAAAAACCTCCACCATGGTCTAGAAAAACAAAACACATGTATCCAGTGACTCATACGGTGACCCTGTGACCTTTATCGCTAAGAGATAGATATAAACAGAAAGCATAGGATGGAATGGAAAATATGCCCTCTGCAGTGTATGAATGGCAAAACAGGATAAAGTGCATAGATGGAAGTTACATGTTACCTCATTACTAAATGAGTATTTCTTTCTCGGTTATAAGCATTAAAAAAAAGCACTGAAATTAAAATTGTGTTGCCAGATTACTAAATTAGTATTTTCTATTAATTCTCAGCATCACAACAACCTTGAATTCAACAGTTAAGTATCAAATGACTAAATCTGTTTTTACCTGTCCGTTATCGTAATCATAAAAACACTTTACTGAAAGTTGAAAACCGATAGGAAAAACATGAGGTATAAGTCAGCTTTACAGAACCAGTTACAAGAGACAAAGGGTGTTATGGCGGTTACCCTTCATCAGCAGAAGAACAGCGAGAAACAAAACAGAAATGAACAGTCACGTTGTGAACATGGCGGACAGGAATAGGAATGGGTGGGTGACGAATGTAGTAAACATATATGATAGAAACAGTATGGATGTGGTATCTTTGAGCATCTGGTAGTGTTGACTGGTCATGATGTTAAAAGTTACAAATATAATGTCAGAATAATAAATTAGCATAGATGATTTCTTAGCAGTTCAAAGAAACTCTGCTTTTATAGTTAAATATAAGAAATTAGAAGTCACAAAAAATCATAACGTTAAAAAACTCTGCATAAAATTAAATGTCAGATGGCTAAATTATTATATGTCTGGTAATTCTTTGCATCAGAGCACCACTGGTTTATGGCTAAATATCTAAATATCAGACGGCAAAATTAGGTTTTTCTCTCCAGTCTCAGCATTAGCAACAAAACACACACACAGACCAGATTGCATTCAGAGTGAAGAATTCCATGGCTAAATCAGTATGTTTCTGTCAATTCTTAGCATGTAAGAAAAATACCTATTGAAAGTTAAAGAAAATTAAAATGTTATGCCAAGTAACTCATTTGTTGTCTGCTTTTTCTCATTTCAAAAACATGCTTTTTTTTTAATTTAATGTAAAATTAACAGTGAACAGTTCTTAGCATCAGGAGAACCACTGAGTCATAGTTTAATACCAGCTGATAAACATCAGGAGTTTTTGTCAGTTCTTAGCATTTAAAAAAAACACTTATACAAATTACAAATCTAAGGTAAGATAACAAAATTACTTTGTAATTTTACATGTAAGAAATACTTTTTATTGAAAACTTCAAAATTAATCAAACTAAAAATTGTTGTTTGTAAATTCTTTGCATCAGAAAAACACTGAATCAGATTTAAATGTCAGACAGCAAAATTCAGTTTTTCTGTAAATTCTCAGCATTAGAAAAGGTACTGAAATCCAAATCGGGTGATGACAACTCTTCCGCTGCCAGTACCGACAGGGACAGTCCAACAGGTCGCAGGCGGCCGAAAACTATCAACAAACTCTTGGAAAAAGAGAGAAATGATCAGCTTCTTGTGAGTGCCATCATTGTTGTGCCTTACTTTGGGTTGTTGTTTTTAGATGCCTGATGTAACTAGGGTGACCATAAGTCCATTTTTCGCGGGGAAAGTATCGTTTTTTAGGCGGGCTCTGACTGTCTTGTAGATACTGGGAACCAAAAAAAAACAGTTGGGGCGTATTGGTGGGATGGCTGGGCTTTCAGTAACGAACGATACTGCCTGGTAAAATTTGGATTTATGGTAATCTTTTATGTAACACATGAAGAACATCTCATGCAATACATCCATGTCATTGGAGGTTGAAAAAGAATTTGAAGGTGACATCTCTGGATGGCGACCTTGGGATAAGAAAGAAACTGGAGCATGTAATGATAACTGAAAAGATTTATAAACAGAGAGATAAAGGAAGACATTGTGAGAAGATTATTGACAGCCTTTTGTCATGCGATGGGAGGGTGTCAGCACATGAATTGATACCTGCTGTTGGGAATCACAAGTGGTGTCAGTGTCTTTTATACATGTTTAGTGCCTGCTTCAGGCTGTTTCTTGTGAGTGCTGTCAGTGTCATACATTCATAGTGCCTGTCTTAGTCTGTTTTTTGTGAGTGCTGTCAGTGTCATACATTCATAGTGCCTGTCTTAGTCTGTTTCTTGTGAGTGCTGTCAGTGTCATACATTCATATTGCCTGTCTTAGTCTGTTTTTTTTGTGAGTGCTGTCAGTGTCATACATTCTCAGGGTGTGCTTTAGGCTGTTTCTTGTGTGTGCTGTCAGTGACCTACATTCTTAGTGCTGGTATTTTTTTTTTTTTTTTCAACTCAATGATCCTTGAAGTTTAGTATGTTGATTAAAAATCCTGTGTTAATCACATATGAATGAAAGTATTTTTGTGGTTTTATTTTGATCAATTTATTTTTTAACATGCTCATGAATTCTCTATTTTTTTCTTTAGGCATCCCATTCAGACTTACACTCCATGGATGGCACATTGTCGTTACACTTTGGTCACCATGGAAACAACAGCACCATCGGTGGTGGTAGCAGCAACAGCAGTTGCCTGCCACCATCCTCTCTGGTCCTTCCGGTGCCGTCGTCTGGCATATCCATCATGACTGTTGCCCCGACCATACTGTCTGTGAAGAGTCCCTCCCTGGGGCAGACTCGAAACCAGCAGACCAGCAGGTCGATCAGCACATCCTCGGTTGTCGGCAGCGGAACCAGTAGCAGGATCAGTTCCTCCGCATCATTGGTTTCATATCTTGATGTGATGGGTGGTGATTATGGGGACAATGTCAATGGATTAGGGAACTCTCTTATGGATGGGGCTCAGACGAATTTAGTGTATTCAACATCAACAGCATCATCTGCCTCGTCTTCAGTTATGTCTGCCGGACAAGGATCTGTGGCGGGGGATATTGCTGGGCTGCAGCAGCAGCTGCAGAACTCTGGCGGTGGCGGTATGATGGGGAGTATGCAGGGAGCAGATATCTCCATCATCCACCACCAGCAGCAGCAGCAACAACAGCAGCAACAACAACCACTGATGAGTATCACACAGCAACAAGAGGGCCAGGGCTCGACCTCAGCTTTACAGACGTTAGCCTCTGTGGCAACCAGTTCACACATGTCTGGTTTTAGTGGTGGGACATTGGCCAGTGGGCACCAGGTTGGATCCACAGGTGGGCTTATGGGGTTGTCAGTTGGCCTTGGTGGTGGATTATCTGCGGTTTCACTAGCACAATTCCAGCAACAACAACAGCAGCCATCAATGATGACGCTGTCTCACACAGACACAGGAGCCACTTTATCACAGGTATGACTTGTTCTTTTTTTTTTCTCATGCAGTATGTTTTCATTATTTCAGTAGTTGTTATATACATAAGCTTCATTACTTCATCATTGTGGATGTTTTGATTACACAAACTCACGGTTTCATTATTTCTTATGTACTTCTGTTTTCACTATTTCTAATGTACTTCCGTTTTCATTATTTCTTATGTGGTAAGGGTCCTAGTACCTAAGAAGTAGTCATATATATGTGTGCCTTTACTGAAAAGTCCCTTCAGAATAATCTGACGTGTATATTCACTGTGAGTATGATGATAGTTGTTTCTTCTACATGTTATTTTCTCATACGTACATCATTATTTGACCAGTAATGTTCAGTTGTTACATATTTATGCACAGAGAAAAGCAGCTAAAAAGTGCACTGTTCATACCAACTTTATCTTATCAATGCAAGACGTAGAAAGTCTTTAAAAAACATATATGCTAGATGAAAACATGTGAGACGATATGTATAAGAAATACATCACACACAAAAAAAACACATGAAGCGACAGACTCACCAACAAACTAAGAACCATGGTAGGCACTGAACCGGTAAATGATCTCATAGAACATGAACGAATCAAATGATCTGGTCAGAAGGCAATAAAATCAGCCAGCAGCTAAAAAGTGAACTACATTAGAACAGCAGGTTACAAGTGAAGAGGCCGACCAAGAAAGAGATTGTCGGATTGAGTAAAATGCCACACACAAAAAACGCAGTATGACTCACAAGCTACGATCTAGCAAACAACACAAAACTTCATCTATCTTCTCTCTACGATGATCTGCAACATTAGCAGTAGGTCAGAACACAAACAGGAAGTTACACATTTGCTCTTTTTTTTTTAATGATTATGTAATAAACAACATGGATACCATTCCATACTTACATTTTGCAGAAAAACCACAAAGTGTTTGGCATCTTGTGAGTGACATCTAATCAGTTACCATGTAATATTTACTGCTTAAGAAGCTGTGACTTTAACAGTAATCAAAAGCTTTTGCAAAATTTGGCTCAAAAACCACACCTTCGCTGCATCCAAGCTCTTCCTAAATTTTTTTTCCACATTCTAAGAGTTGAGAGCTAATAAATACAATCATCCAGCAACTACGTGTTTTTTTAAAATCAGACAGTGTCAGACTGGTTATAACAAAAGTCAGCAAGACAGTTACAGATTTGAACAAGTGTTGCTAGTTACTAGTACACTTCCTTAGAACCAGGTCAGTGTATGACCTGGTTTGTAATCCAGGTTATGGAGGGCCAGACTGAATCAGTGGTGTACATTCGCTGATCTCTTTCGCAGCACCTTGGAGGATATCGTCAGACTTTGTTCAGTCTCCTTCAGAGCTTACTTCAAGTATATAAGTAATGAAAACAATCCTGGAGATCCAGTCGACCTCCTTCGTAGAAGGACACGGCCCATTTTGTTAAGACTGATCTGGACACAGCAGACTCTGAATGTGTACAACAGATTTGAGACTGGGGACACTGGCGTTTGTCTGTGTGTATAAGCACCCCAAAATACCAGACATGAACCACAGACATTTCTCTAGAGAGTTATCCTAGGTCTGGTGGATCAACATTCTCATGGAAATCAAGTTGTATGGATCAGTGGACATCATGCGTAGCATCACCACAGCAGCTTTCATACAGGAAAAGAAAACATACAATCCAAACTCCTTCAGGTCACACGTGGAGCATATTCTCGGGCATACAGTCCAGTCTGGGATATAATTAAGGAACATACAATCCAAACTCCTCCAGGTCACACGTGGAGGATATTCTCGGGCATACAGTCCAGTCTGGGATATAATTAAGGAACATACAATCCAAACTCCTCCAGGTCACACGTGGAGGATATTCTCGGGCATACAGTCCAGTCTGGGATATAATTAAGGAACATACAATCCAAACTCCTTCAGGTCACACATGGAGCATATTCTCGGGCATACAGTCCAGTCTGGGATATAATTAAGGAACATACAATCCAAACTCCTTCAGGTCACACATGGAGGATATAATTGGGTTACATTTCCTTCAGAAGACATTTCCGAGGATCTCATTTCATTGCACATATCTTGAGAAAATGGCATGCTATTGCGGAAGGATGATTTTTGCGGCCAGTATTCTCATTTTGAATATTATTTTGCATGGCTTTTTCCACCCATACAGCAGGATTGTGATTTATTCTCTTTCTTTATTCTACTCCTAGGTTTCCCCTTCAGAAAGAAATCTCTGAAACGGACCCTTCTGTTTATTTCATGTATAATACTTTTCAGTGTCTACGATGTTTCTTTGGTCCGTATTTCGCATGGTCGACCTCTGACTGTTTTACTGCTGTATCTATTTAATATTGCTGTCTATTTTGCCTTTTCTGTAGCCAAACCATTTGATCTGGTTATTTGATTTATATTTAATTGAATGTACAGAATATGACCTTGCCTTCTCTTCTGTGGAAACGAAGCAAATCTTTTTAGAGCACCTTTCATGTATTTTATTACCTGCCGTACTGTATATATTTTTGTATCTTCCTGTAGGATCGCAAGCAGGTGTTGTTTAATGGGCAGATCCTCACATTGACGGACTCTGGATTATTAAGCAGCCACCAGCAGGGAGACTCAGATTGTCAGAACAACCTACAGACCAACATGTGTCAACAGCCCGGCTTATCTGGTGGCGGCTTGCAACAGCAAGGCTTGCAGCAAGGAGGCATCAACGTCGGGGGGATCCTTGGCCATGGAGGCTTCTCAGGAGGATCACTGGGTCCTTCTGGACCTGGTCAGGCTTCTATAATCTACACCATCAATGAGCAGGGGCAGCTGGTTCCCCTCCAGGCACCAGTCAACACGCTTCAGCAAGCCCAACAAGGTTTGGAGTTTATGACGGGCCCCGGCGGAAGTATTATCACAAACTTTCAGAATGCCTCAGGGGGTGGGGCATCACTGATGCCCACCTCGATGCAGCACCAGGCCCAGTCCAACTATTTGTCTCAGCCACCAATCATGTCCATAGCCGGAGGGCAGGGCTCCAACCAGCCGTTCACCATTCTTCCACAGAATGCTTCCAACTCTTTGCAGACGCAGATGATCCCTGGCAGTTCCTTTTTAATGGCTCAGCAGTTTCCACAGCAACAGCAGGTATTGTAATCGATATGTCTCTCTCGCTTCACTTTTTTCAAAAATCTTCTCTTCCCTTTCTCCCGATGATGGCAGTGTTCTTCATTATCTTTCGTCACTTATCAGTCAGGGTTCGTAGTGGACCGGGAAATCGGGAAATTACTGGGATTTTTTTTCGTTGACCTTGAACCGTGATTTTTAGCTTATAAAAGACATTCCGACCTTGAAAAATTTTGACCGCGGCAATGAAATCGTCAGAAATCCTGTGTTTTTCAGCACAGGCAATTTTGGGGGAGCCATTTGGCTTTTTTGGCCATTTGGCTAGTTGTTGGCTACTTTCGTTGTATGGTCGTTTCAGGTGTGAGGGCAGCTGATTATTGGCTATTTTCAGCCGAAATGGCTTGTTAAAGGCCAGGGGAGGGCGGGCTGTGTTTCAGATCATGAATACATGCAGACAGCAGCGGTGTGGCATGGGGCGGGAAGTAGCGGCTTCCGTCTCGTGTGTGTGTGTGTGTGTGTGTGTGCCTTTGTTTCTAGCAAGTCGGACAGAATGAACAGTATAAATCGTTTATGGTCGTGGTTTCTAGAAAGGATTACATTGGGAGATGGTGGGGCTCGGTTCAGTTGTATTTATAAATAGAGTCGCCGTGGTGGGGGCTAAGCACGGCCTTCTCTCTTAATTAGAGATGGCATTGGGGCTAAGCAAAGTGACTGCAGCTGGATTTCCCAGTTCTATTTTTGGCCTGGATTTATCTTTACAGTGTGTTTGGCGATCAGTATTGTAATTCCCCGAGATTCCCTCTTCTGTTGTCTCACCCCTCTCTCTCTCTTCCCTCCCTCTTTCACTCTTCTACCTATTGCTCCTTCCTTCCCGTCTCCTGCATTGTCTCTAACCCTCCCTTCTGATCTTCATCTTCTTTTCTTTCTCTCTATCTTTCCTTTTACTCTCTCATTTTCTGTCCCCCTCCCCCTTTTTCCTATTTTATTTCTTGTTTAAATGTTTAGTAAATGTGCGGCTCTTCCTAGCAACTCAAGTACACAGGAAGTTGTATTGTTGGGGGGTGGGGGGGGGGGGGGGGCATTCTGTGTGAACATGGTGGATATTTTCTTTTGATGTGTTTGTTTTCCTAGCGGCCTTAATCTCTGTCCATCTCCCTTCCCGCCCCCTCACATTTTGTCCTACCTGTTCCTCACTCTCTGCCTGTCTGTGTCAATGCTTTCCTCTTTCTCTTTGTATTTGCCACTCTCCCTCACTCCCTCCCTCCTCTCTCTCTCTCTCTCTCTCTCTCTCTCTCTCTCTCTCTCTCTCTCTCTCTCTCTCTCTCTCTCTCTCTCTCTCTCTCTCTCTCTCTCTCCATACCTTCAGTTGGTGTAGAAGGTTATGTGTTGCCTAGTGCAGAACATTTCATGTCCACCATTCCCCCCTCCCACACATTAAATATATGTGTACTTTTAAAAACACATTTGCAGTCACCCCCCCCCCCCCTTTTTCTCCTCCCACATTGATGACACATAGGGGAGGGAGTGCACCCCTTCCTGCTACCTTCTTCCCTCTATATCTCATCTTATTTCTTACTCCCTTCTTTCTCTCCCTGTCTCATTCCCACTTTATTTTCTTAAACTTTATTCTCTCACCTCCTCTGTCTCACCCTTACCATCTCAGCCTTCTACACCACTTTCCACCACTTCCTCTCTCCCCTCCTTTCTGTAATTGGAAAACCAGAAATAAAACGAAGTCCACTGCTGTCCTGACCTATTTATGTGTCTGACCTATTTATGTGTGTGGGTAAACTCCTCTATTTTCCACCAGTGGTGGGTTGGGATCCCCTGGCCCTTTTTTTTCTTCATAAAATGACCTTGGCTCTCAGGTCACCAGCCTTAAGTGTAAGAAATTGAATTATTGTTGTCACACACAGATAGGACAAGCAAGGGGCAGTAGGGGTTAGCACTGTTGTTTTTGGACAACGGCCACATTCACATTGGGAGAGGGTAGGAACCGGAAAAGTGGCCTCACTTAGAGATTTCCTAATTCTATTTTTGGCACTCATTGTTCTTACACACACCCCCCCCACAACGTGTCTTACCTTTCTTCTCTCACCCCTTCTGTTTCCTTTGATCTTCTACTATTCTCCTTTCTCTCTCCATTCTTCCTCTCTTCCTTTCCTTGCCCTTTCTCCTGTCCCATCTCTTCTTTGTCTCCTCTCCATCCTGTCTTTTCATTTTCTCTAGATTTCCTTACCCGCTCCCCTCTCTCATTCCCCCCCCTCCCCCATTTTTTTACTGGTTCATCTACGTATTTTTTTGCCCCATAACTATCTTTTCCCAGTGGTTGTGTCCACTACACTTGAAATTGTGTGTGTGTGTGTGGGGGGGGGGGAGTAGGTGGCTATTTTTTTTCTTTGATGTATCTTGTCTCCCTTCCTGCCCCTCTCTCTTAATCTGTGTTTGTCACTGCCTTCCTTACCCACCTCTCTCTCTCTTGCTTTATGTCTGTTTGCCTCCCTTCATCACTTCCTCTTTGTATACCTCCCTCCCATTCTCCTGCTCTGCCTTTTTTCTCTTTCTTTGATTCTCTCCCTCTGTCTGCTTGCCTCTCTGTGCTGTCCCCTTGTCTCTCTCTCTCCTTTATGTCTACATCTCTCTCTGCTTGCATCTGCTTCTCACCCTATCCGTTCTCTCTCCCTCTGTCTCCCTTCTTTCAACTCTTTGTCATATTTTCCTCCTTCCATATATCTGTTTCGTTCCCTTTTTCCTTCTCTTTTCATCTGCCCATCTCAGTATCTGCATTCCCTCTTTCTGTATTTGTCTCCCTCTCTGTCTTTCGCTGTCCCTTCCCCACTTTTCATCATCAAGTCTCCATCCCTCCCTCTCATTTTTTCCTCCTTCCCCAGACTTCTTTTCCTTCTTTTCTCTACCTTCATCTGTCCATCTTTACACTGTCTCTCCCAGCCTACCTCAGCATGTGTCTTCCTCTCTCTTCATGACTCTCTCTCTCTCTACCCTAACCCTCTCAGGTACCAGGTCCAGAACAGACCGGACTTCAGTTTGCTGCCCTCTACCACCAAGCCCTAAAAAAAAATTTCAAACACTATATCAAGCTCAGGGGCCGACCAACACGAAGATGGGCACAGGATATAAGTGACTCCTTGAGTATAAAAAAGTACATGAGGTGGGAGAGCTGGTGAGAGACCGAGGTTTTTTTGTCAGGACAAAGGAAATGCTACATGATGATGATATCTGTGCTGGTATACCAACACATGTGGCACAAATGAAGTACCTTGTGTGCTCAGTACACCCTTGAACAAGGCAAAAATCTTGTTTCAGTATTACACCGAGACAACCTTGAAAAAAACTAAGGAGACCTTGAAAAAGACCTTGAAAAGCCTTGCAATTGATTGGTAAATTTGGCTATGAACCCTGTTATCTTCTTCCAGTTGGGGAGTCGCTGGGGCGCAGTGGCTAGACACTCACGTGCGGATCGGAAGTGGTGGGTTCGCTCCCTAGCGTAGCCGGACTTTTAACAAAAAATTACCTTGACTCCCAGGTCGATCAAGCCTTGAATGGGTACCATGTCCAGTCCCAGGAAGTAAAGGGCAGCCGACGTGATGCTTAGGATGTTTTATAGGAAACATTGTTGGTTGCTTTCATCATCAATGGTTGTATTAATGTTGAATAGGAAATATTGTTAGTTGCTTTCATCATCAATGGTTGTAATAATGTTGAATAGGAAATATTGTTGGTTGCTTTCATCATCAATGGTTGTATTAATGTTGTATAGGAAATATTGTTGGTTGCTTTCATAATCAACGGTTGTAATAATGTTGTATAGGAAATATTGTTGGTTGCTTTCAGAATCAACGGTTGTAATAATGTTGTATTGGAAATATTGTTGGTTGCTTTCATAATCAAGGGTTGTAATAATGTTGTATAGGAAATATTGTTGGTTGCTTTCATAATCAACGGTTGTAATAATGTTGTGAAGGAAATATTGTTGGTTGCTTTCATAATCAACGGTTGTAGTAATGTTGTATAGGAAACATTGTTGGTTGCTTTCATAATCAAGGGTTGTAATAATGTTGTATAGGAAATATTGTTGGTTGCTTTCATCATCAAGGGTTGTATTAATGTTGTATAGGAAACATTGTTAATTGCTGTCATAATTAACGGTTGTAATAGTTTTGTACATGAAACATTGTTAGTTGCTTTGATCATCGATGGCTTTGTGCTTGTTCAGTAACAGACTATGATTAATTTTGTTTGTCTCCAACAGATGTTGAACTTGGCTGGGTTCGGAGGGCTGCAAGTTGTCAACCCTTTCACTGGAATGATTGTCAATAATTTGGGCAACGCCCTCAATGGAGCAACGGTCAAACTGGTTGGCAATGAGCTGAAGCTCATCCAGCCTGGGGATAGTTCCTCCGGAGCCCAGGGTCCCACACATGTGATGGTGGATGGGTCCTTGATCCCGATATCCACAAACCCACAAACAATCATGCCCAGCCCTGCTTCTCTGAACACAATGGGGCAGAAAGCACAGCAACTCCCGTTACCTGGCAACTCCATCTTGCAAGTGAGTATTTGCCGATATAAAGGTTCTTTTTCTTCAGCCCTAATATTTGCTGGGTATGCTCGGAGAACGGAATAGAGCCGACGTCTATAAGGACTTTACAAAAGGAGGAGGCAGACATCCAACAGGGGGCATAAAGGAGGAGGAGATCTCGAGGACAGGACACAATACCCTGGAGAGCAGATGAAACACCATTTGAGAACTAAGGAATATAGCCACAATTACACCTAGAAGACAGGAAAATAGACATGAAATGTGGAACTCTCATCTGGACAACAGGACAGTGGAGGGCCTGGATATACTCAGAGCGACTGCATACCAAAACTAATGACAATAAGCGACAACACATGGCACAACAAGCCATTGACCTTGGCACACACAAAAAAATAGACCACAATTATAACCAAGTTGTTATCAGTAGCATTGAGCATGGTCAAATTTAGTAATTTTAGAGCAGAGGCCTGGAGAAATGCAGCAGAAATGCTTCTGTCAGAGAAAAATACAGAGAAACATATAGCTGTCTTCAGGGATGCAGTCAGTTGTCAAGCACTGAAGAGCAAAAACAGTACAGAACTAGCAGACCTTAGAGCTGCACTTCATGGAAGTCAGAAATCAAAAAGAATCAGAATACAAATGGATTCCATCCCATTGCAACATAGCTGGAAATGAAGAGGCTGACAGATTGGCAAAGGAAGGTGGAAGATTACCCCAGTCTAATATAGACATAAATAACATATGATGAGGCCAAGAGGTTTATAAGAAGTATCTGTAGTACTAAATGGGATTCTGTACATCCAGGCCACAAGAAGGATGATGCATGCTACCAGTTTGACAGAAGAGAACAAGTAGTGATCTTTAGACTCCACACAGGACACAAGAAGGATGATGCATGCTACCAGTTTGACAGAAGAGAACAAGTAGTGATCTTTAGACTCCACACAGGACACAATAGGCTGAAACAGCAACTGTTCAATAAACTAAAGATAGGAGACATTGATGAATGCAACTGTGGAAAGGGTAAAATGACAGCTAAACACTTGCTGCAAGAGTGTCATCAAATGCAGAGCAGAGAAAATTATTCTAGCTGACACCCGCTCCTTTTGAGGACAAACTCTGTGACAGCCTCAAGTTGACTGTTATTTCTCTAAATATATTCACACTGACGTTTGAAGGTATGAGAAGAAGACAATTTTCAGGGATTCTTGGAGCTGATAGTCCCTAGAGATGCAGTTACTCCCACACTGGATGCCCCTTGGCATCTATGTAGGAAATGTCGTAAGAAACTATAGTGGATGTGAAAGTCCACGACAGTAAAAGTCTTAACATGTATAAGTAGCAAAGTACTCATTAAAATTCCAGGTCTGCAGGCTGCCTACTGCTGGCTTCCAAAGACATAGTCCGTGATGATTGAGATATTCAATATATGGATGTGAGGTTAAACAGTCATGAGCAGGACGTGACGATTCCTTGAGTGAGCCCTGTACCAGAGCACCATGTATTGGCTCTGCATTTATGAAAGCCTCCTTGGATGCCAGGGAATGCTTATGTTCTGCTTCTGCTTTCTCCTGAGGGCTGACTAGCATTATGTGGCTTCTCTGGATTGGCCTGATGTGGGGCACAATATATGACCTGGGAAACAATAATGAGACTGCAGTTTTCCCATGCAACTAACCAGGAAAGCTGACCCAGTAAATAACAAGCCTGCAAAAGCTGGATGTGTCGGCCGAAAGGCAAAAATATTGCAGCTATGCTGTAAACTGACATACTGCAGTTACATCTTTGGATGAACGCAGAAGAAGAAGATATACATTGTGTGTGAGGATTGTTTAGGTTGATAACATACACATTGTGTGTGTGTGTGTGTGTGTGTGGCTTGTATAAGTAATTGACATATAGATGTGTGTGTGTTTAAGTCTTAAACGCACATATGTTTGTGTTTTAGGTTCTTCTTGTAGTCTTGGCTGTCCAGAACTTTTGTGTACTTTCACTTAACTTTGACACAATTTTCCATGTCAGACTGTCCAGCATTCTCTCTGTGTGTGCCAGTGCCTCTCTTTCCCTCCAGGTTTCATACCATCATGATGTTCTCATTTTTCTCCTTCTCAAGACATGACCAAAGAATTGAGATTGTCTCTTTTTGATGTGGGCAATAATCAATTCTCTTCCTAGGCCAGTGTCTTTCAGGACATCTTCAGTACTCTTGTTTTTTAATGTCCAGGGTATTCTCATCATGCCGGATCTGTGGCTAAGTTGATGCCAACACTTCATAATGCCAGGTTCGATCCCAGCTGCGGGCCATGCGCCTTGAGTTGGTTTCAACAGTGGTAAGAAAGCTGACCGTCCAGAAAGCAATGGCAAACTACTGGACGTAAAGTTTCCTAGAAAAACCACACAACAGCCAGGGGCTGTTAGGGTTGGTTCTGCAACGTCCTGAAAAGGATATGCAACTAAGCTTGTTCTCATCATTCGTCTATAAAACCACATCTCCAAGGCTTCCAGGTCATAATTGTTTCATAAATAAATAATACTAAGAATAATGTTTCGCTCTCTATGTATTAGGTAAGATTAAAATATTCCTGTCTGCATTGTTCTAGTGTAAACATTACACCCACACATTATATTTCCAGTTTGACCCCATGAATCCCAATGCCCCACCAATTATCATTAATGGACCCACCACAAGCCTTCACATGGGGCCTCAGATGCTGGGTCTGGGCCCCCTGTATTCTCCTGCCATGACGGGGGCTCCAGGCATTCTACACATGTCCTCCGGTGGCTCCCTGGGTTCCTCGATCCCGTTCCAGCTGGGGTCCAACAATGGTTTGGTCGTTGTCTCCAACATGGTGACTGGGACGGTGACCACAAACTCTGTGTCGGCCTGTATCAGTTCACCATCGGTGTCCACAGCGTCCAAGGGTGGCAAGGTGAGTTGCTATTGTTTTTTCTATCTTATTTTGCTTTTCCCCGGTTCTCTTGTGACGAGATCAAGTCAATCAAAGAACACTTTTCACACCAGTGGTACAGCTGGCATATGATGCTTGACTCCGATTTTCATAGACCAGTCTGCTCTCAGTGGGTGATGTCAACATCTTCAGTGGTTGACGTCAACATCTTCAGTGGGTGATTGATGTCAACATCCTTAGTGAGGGATTGATGTCAACATCTTCAGTGGGTGATTGATGTCAACATCCTTAGTGAGGGATTGATGTCAACGTCCTCAGTGGGTGATGTCAACATCTTTAGTGGGTGATTGATGTCAACATCCTTAGTGAGGGATTGATGTCAACATCCTCAGTGGGTGATGTCAGCATCCTCTGTGATGTCAGCATCCTCTGTGATGTCAACATCATCAGTGGGGGATTGATGTCAACATCTTCAGTGGGTGATGTCAGTATCCTCAGTGGGTGATGTCAACATCGTCATTGGGGGATTGATGTCAACATCTTCAGTGGGTGATGTCAGTATCCTCAGTGATTGATGTCAACATCATCAGTGGGTGATTGATGTTAACATCAAGCCAGCAGTAATGTCAGCAGAAACTTAATGTAGCAGGGCATTAAACAAACATCTGAGTTTATCTATCTGGGGAAAACATTAAAAAGAAGATGGTAAATGAGATTAAGAAATTAACATCAGATGCACTAAAGCAAACCAAGTATTGGCACAGTTAGCCCCCCCCCCCCCCCCTTTTTTTTTTTTAAACAACACAGGACAATTGGTAGGCAGGCCAAATAATTTCTTGAGGCCTCAGAGATGTGGTTTTACAGAAGAATAATAAGTATACCTTGGACAGGCAAAAAGAGCAACCAAGAGGTTTTGAAAAGGCAGGAGCCCGAAGGCAACTTATCACAGACATCAGGAGGAGACAGTCATAATTTGTCAGCCGTGTTATGAGAAGAGGGAAAATAGAACATGTTGTAACCACTGGAAAGATCTGTGGAAGGAGGGAGAGAGAAGAAGACGACGAGAGAAGATGCTTGACAGTCTTGTTGCATGGCGTGGAGGAGTGTCGGCGCACGAACTGATACATGCTGCAGGAGATCGTGGATTGTGGAGAGGCATGATCGCCCACCCTAGTCGGCAAGGCATCTGATGATGATGAAGACACCCCCAATCATCACAAAGAAATATCTAATGCAAAGCATATTTATTCCTACCCTATGCTACCAGTGCCAGGTATGGCCACTCACAACAAACCAGAACAGAAAATTAAAAACTATAGAAATGAGATGTCTGAGAAGGGCTGCAGTGGTGACCAGAAGAGATGAAGCCAGGAATGAAGTCATGAGAGATAAAGTCAGCACAGAACCAGGTCTAACTTACATACAAAGACAGCAGATCAAGTGGTCCACCCACTTATAAGGAATACCCTGTTAAAGGCATAGACAGAAAGAGGAGATGGACAAAGAATATAAGGTAGACCAAGAACAAGATGGAAAGATAACATCAGATGAATCATGCAACCGTGCAATGTGTCTGTGTTAAGTGCAGCAAGAAGCAGAATCTTATATCTCCAATGCCCAAAGCGGTAAAAGAGAAAGTGAAGAAGAAGCATTGCCCAGCTGTAAATTCTGGCAGAAAGTTCTGGTTGTTCGTCCACTTCTGGACTTTGGTGTTGTTCCAGAATAGAGTTTTGCATGCACATGAGAATTATAGATCTAGCTTATTTGTATGCAAACTGTTGGTTTCTTGCCTGTCAGGCACATGCACCCCGACTTCAATGGAAACACCACTAATTATTTTACTTTTATGACAATTCTAGATGGAGACAGTAGATCGGGTCTTGTCTCCACCCACGCTAGGATGCAAACAATAAAACTATACACCTGACATGGTGTGTTCCAAAAGACAGTTGTTTCTAGACATCTATCATTGATTATTTCATTTTCTGTCTTCCAATTGTTTGTTATTTTTGTTCTCAGAGCTTGCCAACCCTGGCACCAGCATTGTCCCAGATGAGCCCAACTATTAATTCTACAGTTGCCAGCAACTGTGGCTATCAGACCATCCTTCCTTCAGGAGCTTCCCAGCAGTTCATCATCAGTGGGCAGAAAGTTGTCGCCGCAAAGCTGAGCGCCCCGTCGGCTGTGATTTCCAAGTCAGCTGCCCAAAACCGCAAGCGGTCACCATCTGCTGCAAGAGCTTCACCCATTGCAGCCGCTGACATCTCATCGCAGATGGTCCAACAGCAGATTCTCACGGCTTCGGGGACAGCTATGGTCCAAGCATCTTCAAAATATTCCCCAGGAGCAGATAAAACACCCAAAGGTAAAGCAGCTAAACACAATAACCTACAGCTGCTACATCACCAGCAACAGCAACAAGAGGATGACAAGAGAGCTGCCAGCCTTCAGAAGAAAGACCTCTTGGCTCAAGCCACGGCCACGGCTGGAATCCTCATGGATGGCGATAATGTTGCCTTGAACATTTCTTCTGGATCTAACATGAACTTGTCTGGATCATCTGCAGAGCTGCAGATCAGCCTGAAGCAGTCTCCGAGAGATGAGGAAGATGACAATGTTCAGTTAATCATCGATGAGAATTGCGTCAGTGGGGTCAGCTCAACCTCGCCTGGTCATTCTTCCTTCAGCCCCAATATGATGTTAAGTTCAGCTCTTTCTGCGAGCACCTCGTCGTCAGTGTTCAGCCATGACATAAGTCTAAGTACCGGTCCTTCACAGCAGCTGCACATCCAACCATCTAGTGGGGATTTGACAACGCCACTGGTGTCGCCAAACATAACCTCAGCTCAGCCGGTATCTCAGAAACAGACATCCAACAGTTCTGTCATGAACATGTCAATGCCCCAGCTCCTGAGTCCGCTCCCTTCAAATATTTTCACGGCTTCTTCTACTGCTGGCATGTTGGCCCCCTCTTCAAACTCAGATCTGCGGATTGTTGCAGGCCCGTTCCGCCCAGAGGATGTCTTTGCTCAGTTGTCTGGTGCTATGGGTGGTACTGAAGCAAAATTGAGTTTAACTCCAGATGCTGGCAGTAAACTGAATCCTTTAAGCACATTTGGCATGCCAACATCAATACCACTAAGTTTGTCTTCAACCTCTCCTGTACCAAAGCTGTATATACCAATAGCTCCTGCTCCAGTCAAAGGGTCGAGTATGCCGACTGCATTGACCTTTGCTCAAGATGCTCCTGTATTTACATTTGCCGATTCAATGGGAAATGCTGCTGGATTACCGGAGAAGTCAGCAGGAAAGGGAAAGTGTCGCAGTAAGAAATCGGCTCCCATCACAGCAGCTGTAACAGCTTCACACGTGAACAGCATGGACATTGCCAGCTGCGGCCTACAGACGCTGCAACAAGAGCCAAAGAAGAAGCCACCCTCCAAGAAACGGAAAACTAAAGCTGAGTTGAGGCTGGAGAAAGAGGAGAAGGAAAGACTGGCTAGAGAAGAGGAAGCAAGGAAGAAAGGGATGGAAGAACAAGAAAGGAAAGCTAAGGAACATTGTGTTAAATCTAAAGAGCACTATCATGTGGGAGAGGATGATAGTCTTCTGCCTGTGTTGGAAATGAATGACAACGAAGCTGTGAAAGAACAAATCCTGCACTCTGTGAGTGAATCGAAACTGCTCAACACAGACGGTAGTCAGATCAGTTTAATGGACATGGTTGATAAAATAGAAATTTTTAATTCAGAAACAGGGGCTGATGTGTTCTGTTCCGGTAACTCGAGATCTGATATCAGTGTTCGAAAACCTGGTGATCAATCAATGAACATCTGCTCAACCAAGGATGAGGATAAAAATGTAAATCTCGATAAAACATTGAAGCGAGAACTGCCACGTAAACGGAAAACGGAAGCTGCCAATAGCAGTGTCCCCAAAGTGGACAACAGACGCCCTAAGAAATCAAAAACAATGGATGCTGTCAAACTAGTGGAAGCTGTCATGTTTAATGTCAACAGTATTTCCACCTGCTCCACAGGGAACTCTTCCTCAGATATTTATGATTTTGTTGATGATGAGGATGATGCTGACAACTTTCTGCAGCCCCCTCCGACGCCTACAAAACTCCAAACTAAAAAGGTACCAAATGCTAGAAAAGGAAAAGTTTCCAAAGGGGGCACTGTGGATTCAGCGTCTGTATGTGAGGTGAGACCAGGTGGCAGTACCGTCACACGTGTGGAATGCAAGGTCACCGGAAGCAACAGCACTAGCCAGTCACATGAACAATCAGCCGATTCCTCCGCTTCTGTGAAGCTGACAGCTGCCTCGACAGTAGGCTTGCCAACCTTAACTACGACATCTGCAACATTATCCTTATCATCTTCATTATTATCAATGCCTTCATTACCAAAATCTCCCCCGCTGTTTGCTTCAACTCCAGCTAAATCATCACAGATGACAGTCACTGCTGTGTCATCAAATGGGGCTGCTGCAGTTTCCAACAGTACCTACGCTATGGACAACAACCGAAATGCCAGTGTTGTCAACAGCAGTAATTTATCGTGTATTTCCAAGAAGGATGGATCTGAGGCAACTCTGCATTCCACTCTGGAGGAATCCTTTTCTATTGAGTTCCCAGTCATGGACTTTCAGACTTCTCCCAAACTTTCAGAGGCTCATGATGACCAGGAAAACTCTATGGGACTTCCTGCTGAAACTTTAGCTGATCTCTTTAACCAGCATAGCCCTGGGAAGATGATGCTCAACTCCAGCCCACCTATGCTTCAGAATGGAGTTTTGTCACCTTCAGATGTTGATTTGCCAGCGTTGAGAACTCCGGCCCCGCCTATGAGCCATGGTCACTCTGAGTCTATGCTAATGTTGGACAGCCGAGGCAGCCAAGAACTCATGTCCTCAGCTCAATCTGGAAAACAGTCCTTGTCACACATGCAAACCCCCCCTCATTTGGAGCCCAAATCACCTGTCAGTTCATTAGTTGAGAACATCTCCACATCCTCCTCAGCCCCTTCATTGTCTCTGACAGCAACATCATCATCCTCTGTTGCAGCATTACCAGTGACGCTGTCAGCAGACAGCAGCAAAACCTCCACTAGTTGTATGAACTCATCTGCAGTGTTTCATCACCTTGATTCCATTGCCAGTCCTCGGACATCCTCCCACCTGGAGTCTCAGATGCCATCTCTCAGCTCTTCATCACTGGATGCCTTGTCTGAGATTCTTCCTTTGAAGCCCATCACTGCAGAGCTAGAGGTGGAGGACAGCGTCAACAATAGCTGCGCCCAGCAACAGAGAAGGCTGACTCCAGTTCAGACCCAACCACTCTCACACGTGCCTTTGAATACTAATGATTCGGGAATGGCAATCCAACAGCAGAATACTCAGCAGCAGCAGCAGCAGCAGACCCTTCTTCCAGATCTGAAACAGAAATCACAGCAGCAGCAGCAACAACAGCAGCAGCAGCAGCCAAGGCAGAGCCAGTCTCATCATCCCCCACAAACCAGCCCACATAATCTACGCCCTCCATCTGCATCAACAACACCCCTACCATCTCCCAAGCTGCATGCATCCCCAGGTTCAGCCAGCAATGCAGGATCAGTGCACAGCATGTCTCCGGCAGCGCAGCAGCACTCCTGTCAGAAACAACAGCAGAATTCTCAAATGAGCAGTGGTTCAATGATTGACAGGGTCAACGCTCCTCCACTCTCGCACCCTCCCCAGCAATCGCCCAGTCTGTCCCAGCTGTTTTCCACTCCAGACACTTCCCCACGAAACTCCAGCTTCACATCTCCACCTAGCGGCGGCTCCAGTATGAAGCTGAAACACATGAGCCCATCTAATGCCCAGAGCAACCAAGAACAAAGTTCTAGTTTCATCAGCACTCAGAAAGGAGGCAGCTTCTCTCAAGCATCAGCCCAGCAGCCCAAAAACCAGTACTCTGTGGACAAGATCATAGAGCATCCAAACAACACCAGCTCCTCGGTTCAGTCCAGACACCCCAGCGATAGTTTTAATTTTACAAACATTGGCTCCAATGTGACAACCACCACCGCCATCCCCAGTTCTGGGACCATGCCCTTGACTTCAGATCCCAGCGGCAGTGGGTTCTCCTTCTCCTTGTCCTCCACCAATCCACATCAGTCATCTTGCAGTGCCAACATAAACACCAGCAGTAACAACAGTAACAGTGGTTCTGTTTCCTCTATGCAGTCAGTCCCACCTCCCAGCGGAGCTCATGTTACTCACAACACCCCGTACCTCAACCCATTCTTCCCCCCGCCACCACCGATGAACCTCCCATCCTCGGCCGGTTCATCCTCTCATCACAGCCTGGCCATGCATCCGCTGGGTAACATGGAGATCCAGCATCCCACCTCCCGACCTTCCAGCGGGAGCTCAACTGCTGCAGCATATGGGATAGGTCCATCCAGCTTGATGACGTTTGGAAGCCACCCCAAGCTCGACATCCCGCCAATTTCCAAATCCCCAACGTATAATACAAACAATCTGTCTTCGAACAACAACCCCAGCGGTAGCACAAGCAACAGTATCAACACAGGGAAGTCGCCCAGTGCTGGGAGCTCATCCAGCAATAATGGAAGCTACTCACACACCAGCAGCAAGCAGAGCATTGATGCCAACAGCAGCCGGTATCAGGCCTCCAAGTCTACAGCTGAATCTATCTACCAGCAGCAGCAGAAGCGGCCCAATACCATACAGCATCCACCTGCTAGCATGAGTCATATGGATTCAATGGCACGATTGTCTTCATCAGCACACAATAATAGCTTTTTTCCTATGGGTTTCCCTGCATCGTCAAGTGCATCATTGTCGTCAGCGTCGATGCCGCTGCGCCATTTACCGGATACCCGAGACATCTCCTCGCGAACTCCTTATGACTATCCTCCCGTCCCACATCACCCAGCCATGGGATTTCCGCATCCTCATTCACAGCTGTCATCAGGGTATGGAACACATCCCTCATTCGCTCGGGACTGTGCCAGACTTGAAGCCAGCCACCATCAGCAACAGCAGCAGCAGCAGACTCAACATCAGCAGCAGCAGCAGTCACCCAGAAAGCAGACAACACCGAAAAAGTCATCCACCAGCTCTTCCGCTGGGTCATCCAGCAACACTGGGAACTCAAACGCTGCCAGCGGCGGCAGCAGCAGCAGCACCTCCAGCCATAGAGGGGGTGGGGGTAGCAGCGGCACAGGGAGTGGCTCAGGCATGAACCAGGATCACAGCCACAGCCCTGCAGCCTCTTCTAGCCGCGTGACAGCTTCCCAACACCACTCCAGCCAGCAGCAGAACACAGGGTCATCTTCCACCAACTCCTCATCCCACAGCCGCAGCAGCAGCAGTGCCCAGAAAAGAAAAACCACTTCCTCTTCCTCGTCATCGAAGAAAAAGAGCACGGCATCCCAACACACCGGCTTTCCTGTGGATAGCATGGATGCAAACATGTCACAGAGCATGTTTGATTCCTCTTTTCCTTACTTAAATTTCCCAACACTTGCTCAAAGTATGTCTCCGCCAGCCGCCCGCCCACACCAAGCGGATACACCATTTTTGGGCGGGATGTTCAACACGCAGCCTAGACCTATAGCAAATTCAAGTGCCAAAACGGCAGATATGACGGCCTCACACTTTCCATTGTTTCCTTCCAGAGCACAGAACTCTTTCTTCCAACCTGCGGGCTTCGGCATGAACTCCATGACAGGCAACCATGGCAATCCGACTGCAGGTATTTCTCCACACTCTATGGGAGTGCCCCCGCACATGTCTGCCTTTGGGCTGTTCGGAAATGATACCACAGGAGCTCCAGACAATATCTCTTCTAACAAATTTCTTCACACGAACCCCATACTTCCGGGCAGCCACCAAACCATGGACCACTCCCTGCAGCACGGTCACCAGGCCGCCGCCTCGCTGTACCACACGCGACCACACTCAGCTCAGTCACACATGATGGCTGCTTTTTACCAGCATGGCTTCGACACTAGAAGTCACATGGGCCAGCCCTTTAATGGGTCCATGGGCCCACCACCCTTCCACACACCCGGCCTTCCACCCATCAACTTTTCTATGCATGACACACACTGACACCAGTGACCTTGGATCCCTTTGCTTCAACAAACATTTGACAGGGCAGTGGCCATCCCTACATGGAACATAAGCCCCTGATAAGAATTCTTCACAGCAGAGTGACCAGGGGTAACCATTTGACTTACGCCAGGATGATTGTCATAACCATTTGACAAAAGCACACAGTGCTTTAGCTAGCATGGTCATTTTGACTGGTTTTTAACCAGATAACCAGTTTTTCTGAGCTACATGCAGAAATTAGTATAATGAAAGGAACTGGATTCCTAACTCCCTGATATCCTGGCCTATTATGTGTCGTCTCCAGTAGTGCTGCCTGTTCTATGATGATTGCATGTGGCCGAATCCTGCTATCTCTCAGCATCACTGCCTGTGCTGGCCACTCCTCAGGATGGTGCAGAACTGTGTTCTTCAGCCTGGTAATGTAGAACCACACAGCTAGTACATCGCAACAGACTGGGCAGGTTAGAATATTTTTTCCCCTCAACAGAAAAATACTATGGATACCAGTTCGGGTCTTCGTCTTGAGAGTCCAGCATTCTATCCATTTAGCCAGCAGAGGTCATTCAGCCAGCAGAGGTCATAATTTTGACCCAAGCTGTGAACAAACAAGGCGACATGTCCGTGTGATTATGACCTTTTTAAGCTGGCTTTAATGATGATAAGCAAAGTGCATCTTAATTTCTGTTCTCTGTTCTGGTCTTCAAAGAAATATTTCCGATTATGTTTGATTTTCCGGTCCCATCTGGCAAATTGCAGAAATACCATTACAAAATTCTTCTCCATTTTTAATCTGTGCATTTTTTAGCAGTTCCCCTGCATTTGGTTTTGTTTCCTGTAGCAGAGGAAACAGATATTTTCACACATGTGACATTTTAAACGGTTTATTTCCAGTATTTTGTATATTTTGCAGGCTGTTCCCCCTGTTGTGTGCATTTAACGGGAACTCGTGTGTATTTTTCTCATAACCAATTGAATCACCACATATTTGAAGGAAAATTATTGTTAATTATAACAGCTAGGATGTTATTGTGTTACTAATGGCTATTTCTGATTTATTGTAACATATGAGTAGTTGTTTCCTGTTAACGTACAGTGTTTAAAATGACAGATCTGTGAGCGAAACAATAAAATTGTAACATATTGGAAGGTAGATCTGTTAATTAACAACCTCTGGTGAATTCTTGGAGGAGTTCATGAACCCCATGACCTATAACAGGAAATGACCTCCAAGTGCCATACTGTTGTAATGTGTGCCACTTGATTGTTCACATCTGCTGGGTAGTGATTTTACTTTGTTTTTAACTGTTTCAACTTCTGCTGAACTAAGGGGAGCTCGTGTGGGCTTTCCTTGATTGCGTAAAAATTGCTTGTATTAACAGCGCCACTTTCATATCATGTTTTGTGTGAACAAGTGCAATGTTGAAAAGGAAACCACATATGTTGTGAGTGCTGTACGTATGGTGGTGCTTTACTTATGCAAGGTATTGGTCACGCTGTTCACTGATTTCTTTGTTATGTCCATGTGTGGGAGAGAAAGTGAATGAAAGATATGTGTTTTATAAGTGTAGCAAGGATGCTGTTAATATCTTTTTCATTCCCTCTTGGAAGGGCAGTTTTGTTGTGGTTTATAGCTAGGCTGTGATATGTGCACCTTTCAGGAGAGCACATCCCCTTTCAGTAAAGGTTTTCATTATGCTATTCTTATCAAGTGGCAGTGTATGTGTATTCCCCCCCCCCCCCCCCCCCCCCCCAACTACCCCGATCCCAGATGGGGAGATAACATTGTAATCTACGTTTAATGTCTTTCCTCCTGGACTGTACATTCTTTGACCATCTTAATGAATTCTTTCAGTCGATTCTCCACCAGATGATAATAAGAGTGATGAACAAATGAGGAGACAACTTTCCAAGCAGAATATTTATTGTGTTGAATTTTAAACTGTCTGTAGATTAAGACTTTGGAAACAAATACCTGAGGAAAGTGAAAAACATAAAATGAAATTAATTCAAGAGGGGTGGAGAAATGTGTGGTCAACCGCTAGTATCAAGAGTTAAAATAAAGAGAATATTGCACTATTTGGAGGCATTCTGAGATAAGAAAAACAGAGAATCACCTGACAGGCACTGAAATGAGAAATAAAGCGATTGAGGAAAAATGAATGTGCTTTATGTCAGCACAATGAAACATATCATACAAAGTATATTTATTCCCACCTTATGCTACCAGTACCAGACGTGGTCACTCACAACAAAACATAGAAGAAAATTAGTAACTATGGAAATGAGGTGTCTGAGAAAGGCTGTAGGAGTGACCAGAAGAGGTACAACCAGGAATGAGGTCATATGAGACAAAGTTAGTACGGAACCAATTCTAAATTACATACAAAGACAGCAAAACAAATTGTTTACCCACTTGGAGAGAATGCCTTCTGATGTTATACCATACAAAGCAAAAATACCAAAAGAGGAGAGTGGCGATGAGCAAGAGGTAGACCAAGAACAATATGGAAAGATAACATCAGAGAAACTCTGCAGCACCGGTATGTGTCTATGGTCGAGGCAGCCAGAAGAGCACAAAGCAGGACCTTATATCTCCCTCGACACCCGAAGCGGTAAAAGATGAAGTAAAGAAGAAGAAAAGGAAAAGACGACGTCCAGCAGAAACCCTAGGGCGGATGTTAGTGAGAAAGCCAAAGCTGCTGGACTGAATTCCATCCGTGATTCGGGGGGCACTGCACAGGATAGAGCAGAATGGAGAAAGAGACTGCAGGCCCTGTGTGACAGATAATGGCACAACAAAATAATGAATGGATAAAATAATATATGATTATTGTTCTCTTGGCTTTCAGACAGTGAAAAAGATAGGAGCCTCACTACATGATATTCCCAAAGACCACACTGGCGCATATCCACTACAGCCGGCCTATTGGAAGATGGCATGCACATTTACATTTTTTTTTTTAATGTAAAAACGGTCCAGCAAAATCTTTTTTAGTGTATAAAAACAAACGATATAAAAACTAGTGCTGTATTGTTTCTGACATGTGGATGATAGATGTGTTATTTGGAACAGAAAGGATTCAGTGACATCTGTGATGGTAGATGTATGGGCGGTGTTTAGTTGCATGTGCCCTTTTATGTGGTGGTGATGATGATAGTTGATCACAGTGGATATGTCTGGAATACATTAATGATAACCAGAGATGCACAAACCGTCTGCTTCAAATTGATTGTCCTGGTTGCCAGCACAGAATTGATAGACTTATGTTGCTCAGCTTACAGGCAATAAGTGGCGTGAAAAATTATCGTTCCAAACAAGAAATAGAGCTAGTCTGCTGTCACGAACAACAAAATTAACGCTATTGCTTTAAAGCATTCATCAGCATATGTCGCAGATGGACAATAATACAATTACAAACTGCAATACACAAATTCACTGATCTATCACGCATTCTCCATAACATGCAGGAACTTTAGGCACATCTGTTGTTGCAGGATGTAGGCACTGGACAGGAAGTGACCCATGGAGGCAAGGAGTGGCAGTGGACTGACAGTTGGTTATGGCAAGAGTTGTAACTAAAAATTGTTGGACATTGAGGTCCTTAGGAGACGGAGAACCTGACAGGCAGATAAGGAAGAGTCTCGCAGACTGTTTCATTCGAGTGGCTAAACTTAATGGCCATGTTCTCTATGTCAAAACTGCCTAGGTGGCTGTGAGATTGGAAAGAATGACACCCTCATTCAGGTTTGAAGGTACCGTTGTGCACAGGGAAATGATGTTACCTGAACCTTAAATGCAACAAGCATTAAAGCAGTCATATGGGGCACTAGATTGTAAATTATTCCTCCCCACGACACTTAAAGGCAAAGGCAGAAAAGGTTTATGATGATGAGTAAAGCAAACATCGTCTCAGAATTCACAAAAACATCTGTACCTGTCTTTACTGAATGGTAGTTAAGAGGTCATCTTCAGGCTGAAAATTGACTATTGCAGAATCAAATTGAAATCTGACTGAAGAAGAAAAGGGAGATCATCAGTTAGGCATCTTTTCTGGAGTGTCCTGAAAAAATTAATTAATATGCCTCAAGGTAATTAATCTATATGCATATAATTAGCTCTACAGAAATTAGTACACACAACAATTTGAAGAGAATATTATTTAGCGAATTTAAACACAAATTGTTTCTATATTTTTACAGTATTTAAATTTCTGTCAAGACTTACATTATGTGCCAGCACTTTTTGATTCATAAGACGTGTGTGTGTCCCGAAATAGTTCATTGGCTTCATGAAGTGGGTATTGTCGCCTTTTTGTCTGATTTGATATACCTGATTTTGACAACATTTGATGTACCCAGTTCTAAGGATAATTTTTATATACCCAGTTCTGACATCATTTGTTATACTCAGTTCTGAACATCATTTCAAATACCCACTTCTGATATCATTTCATTTACTCAGTTTTTAACATCATTTGATGTACCCACATTATTTGATGTACCTAGTTTTGGCCATCATTCAAACTACTCGGTTCCGACATCGTTTGATAAGCTTAGTTTTTAACATCATTTGATGTACCAACATCATTTGATGTACCTAGTTTTGGCCATCATTCAAACTACTCGGTTCCGACATCGTTTGATAAGCTTAGTTTTTAACATCCTTTGATAAACTCAGTTGTGAATTATTTGATTGCCTAGTTCAGCATTTTTTTTACCAAGTTTATGGAAGAATATGGAAATCAATGCCTCACTTTTCTGTTTTCCTCTTCTTCTTTTTTTTTTAACAATATGTTTGTTGCTTTCTTATTTTATGAGTTTAGGACTTTCTGATTTTTTGTAAGTTGGGTAGTTTCTGATTTCTGTGTTTGTTAACTGACTGAGTTTGGTAACTGTCTGTATGAGTTTGTTACTATATCATTTACTCAGTTTTTAACATCATTTGATGTACCCACATTATTTGATGTACCTAGTTTTGGCCATCATTCAAACTACTC